CAAGTTGTTCCCTCTGCTGGGGCTCCAGGAATCACACTTGGCCTGTCCAGGCCCCAGGCGCTCCTGCCAAGCCCCTCCAAAGGCCAGGCTGGGAAATCCACGGAACCAGTCCTCTTGCCCTCCCCTCCCAGAATCGCTCTGATGGCTCACTTCTGTGGGGAAGGTGTGTGTCAGTGTGGGTGCAAATGTGTGAAGGAGTGTGTGCATGTGTGCATGCGTGTGTATGTATGAGTATGTGTGAGTGTATACCCCTCCCAGGGCCTCAGTTTCCTGCCTACGAGGTAAGGCCTCAGTGCTCCCAGGGCCCCGACTGCTCTGTTTCATGTCCAGCTGCATGCAGATGTTGGTCCGGCACGCATTGCGTTCCAACAGTGTACCAGGCCCATGCGCACCTCGTCCCCATAGCAGCCCTGCTCCCCCAGGCGCCAGCTGCTCCTCCTCTTGTGAGAAGTGGGTCCGTGGCTTGGAGAGGGGCCCCAGGGGCTCATGGTTCATCTGTCAGTGGTAGAGCTGAGACAGGAGTGTGCCTGTGGGTGCTGTCTGTCCTCTGAGGGGACACAGATCTGGGTTCTCCGGCTCTGACACTCCGCCTCTGTGTACAGGGCCGGGGGTGGTGTAAGTGTGAGTGTGGAGAGACCTAGGAATAGGGTTCCCCACCCTCCATGGTACACACAGGTGGGGCCCAGGCATCCTGTCCTTGTGCAAGTTGTACAGGTGAGCGTCCCCAGGGGGCAGGTAGCCGAGAGGCCCCAGAGGGCTGAGGAATTCTGGAGGGGCTTCCTGGAGGTAGTGGCCAGGGGTAGGGCCTGAGTGAGAAAATGGGGGAGAGGCTGTGCAGGTGGGGCCGGAAGGGCTGCGGAGGCCAGGGAGCCTGCCGTTCGTACGATGGGCAGAGGTGGACCCAGCCCCACATATCCCACCACGCGAGGGTAGACAGACAGAGGGACAGGTCAGAGATCAGAGAGGCCCAGAAAGGCCCTGTCCACTAGGGCTGCACTGCCCAACAGTGTGGCCAGTAGCCACATGTGGCTATATACATTTAGCTTAATTAAATAAAATCAAATGTAAAAGTCGGTTCCTTGATCACACCAGCTGCATTCCATGTACTCGACAGCCACATGTGGACAATGCAGCTGCTGGATAATGCAGACTAGGACATGTCTGTCATCTCAGAAAGTCCCGTGGTCAGCACAGGGCTAACAGGTGGGGAGTCTGCCCCGAAGCCCAGGCTGCACAAGAGGGCACACGAGGCGGTCACTCAGAGGGTGCCCTGGGGCACGATTTCCCAGGTGGCCTTGGTGGGTGAGAACATGTCTACAGGGGTCTCTGCCTCTGAGCAGGGCCTGATGCCTGCCCTCTGAGTGGGCTTCCTCAGGGGTAGGGGTTGGCCGTCCTGGGAAGGTTGTTCTAGGGGTGCCCAGGCAGTGAGTGCTGGCCACCCAGGCAATGAGTGGTCGAGGCCAGTATTCTCCAGAGAGAATAATTCCTAATTGCAACACAAACTAAATGAAACAAAACAAAATGAGAAAAGGCTGAGGGAGTGGGTGACACACGTTATATTTTTAAATAGCTACATGTAGGTATATATATATATATATATACAAGGCCCAGTGGACATGGCTGGGTGGCCTGGGGCCCCTGGAGTAGCCATCTGGCCCCACCAAGGTCCTCAGTGTGAGGCCAGCCCACACTTCACCAGACGCCTGCCAGGTCAAGCATCACAGCACTGGGGTCATGAGAAACGGTCTGTTCCCAGAGGGCTGCGTGTTGCAAACGGGTTCTTAGAAGGGCCGACAAGAAAATCCCTTGCTCAGGAGAGTGATGTTCCGGAAGCGGGGGAGATTGCTGCTATCTTCCTGTCTGTCTTTCTGAGAATGCACAGGAGGCGAGGGGCCTCAGGCCAGGACTCCATCTTGCCCCTTGAGCCATTTACCTTCATAAAGATGCGTTTCCATTGTTCAGTGTCTGTGGGTCACTCAGCGGTTGAGGAGGGGGCTGTGTTCAGAGAGGCTCTGGAAGAAAGGTTCCAGGCTAGGGGAAGTCACAAGGTGAGAAAAGTTAACCTGGGGAAAGGTAGTGAGTCTTCCATCACTGGGAGCATTCAAGCCCAGACTGGAATGCCCTCCGCCTTGGTGCGGAAGGTTTGGACCAGACCACATGAGAGGTCCTAGATTCTCATCACTCTGTGTTGTCAGCACCTGGACAGGCCACAGCCATTTTTATTCTGGTAAATTCTGACTAGGTTGAGGGCTGAGTTTCCACTCTGGGGCTAGCCTGAAGGAGCCCCCTGGAATAAAATACCTCCTCCAAAGCAGAGCTTCAAACTGGTTCCTTCCAGTTCGAAGTCCCGCTGAGAATTTGCATTTCTAACAAGTTCCCTGCTGAGAATTTGAATTTCTGACACGTTTCCTGCTGAGAATTTGCATTTCCTTCCCAGATATACTAAATCAAAATCTCCAGTTTAACAAGATCCCCAGGTGATTCTTATGTATAACTTCCTGGGAACTTGTTTAAAATGTAAATTCTCAGCAGGAAACTTGTTAGAAATGTAAATTTTCAACAGGGGTTCCAACTGAGGAACTGGTTGGACACCCTGCTCCACAGTGGAGGCAGAAACAGAAAACAGACTTCGATTTCGTGCAGGAAGGAGTTTTGCTCTTGGACTGGGTGTGGGACAACGATAGGTTGGCGTTTCCAAATCTTAAGGTCAAACACTTGCATTTACAGGAACCTGAAAAAGGAGCTGTGCCTTGTGACTGCTTCCTGGACAGTTTGTTAGGCATTCCTGGGTCGGAGATATAGGAGACCTTTGTGTTCACAGAGCAAGGCTGACCTTTCAGGAAAAGCCTTACCTTGGCTGGGATGGAGGGAGAGGGAGGTGCAAATTTGTTCCTTCCTGTTGTTTGCTGCTCACTGTGAGTGGTACGAATCAGAGCCAAGGGATCCTCCAGGTCCTCAGGGGCGGGATGGGCCTGAGACTCCAAACCCAGTGAGCTGGTTCAGAGACGGGCCTGGACCCATGTGGAGGGTTCTCCATCCCCTCAGGCTCGGCCCCACTCCCTACGTGGCTGTGGACCCCGGTGACAACAGACACGTGGGAGCCCCTAGTCAGTCCAAGAGCGGCTTTGAGCTCACTTGGCTGAGAAGGAGCAGCTGGGACCTGGCATGGACTCTCGGGTCTGAGTCAGGCCAGTGTCACCAGGCCCTGTGTCTGTAGCTGGCCCCTGTCCCCGCAGCGCCAGGGTGACCCTCAAAGAGAGGCATCAAAGCAGACGTGGGGCATCCTGGCTCCCACGGGCCACCCTTAACTCCACTTCACAGCTAAGGAAGCTTCTCAACAGACAAGAGATCACACCTCTGCAGGGGAAATACATGTATTATCAAGCCCCAAGGAAGACACTACAGTGAGGTGAATGTGAGAGTCGGCCTGAGGACTATCTGACCAAAGCAGTCTATGTGTTCATGTGCCTTTGAATATTCTAGATAGTCATGGAGAGAAAACACACCTACTGGACTCTTTTTTCCTGATTAAAGCCAGTTTCCTTCACCTTGCCTGCAAGGTCATGTCTGTGCTGACCCCTCCTTGGACAGCTGCACTCCCCCCACAACCTGCTGACTAACCCTTCTGGAGTCACAGCCATCCTCAAAGAGGGGGTGCGTGCTCAGGGCCCCCCAACTCCTCCTGGCTCAGCCTGGCCAAGCTCAGCCTGGAAAGCAATACGTTCAACAAGTTGGCTGCAGGCCTTGTCAGAGGCTTTGGATGCTAATGTGCACGGTTGAGACCCAAGAGGGGGCTCTGGTAGGCACTGTTACCCGAACTTCAGATGTCTTCGAGGACCCTTTTTGTGCCAGAAAAAGAGCCCTGGTGGTGCAGGGGTTAAAGCCTTTGCTGCTAACCGAAAGGTCAGTGCTCAAACCCTCCAGCTGTTTCGCAGGAGAAAGACAAGGAAGGCGATCTGCTTCCGTAAAGATTACAGCCTAGAAAACCCTATGGGGCACTTCTCCTCTGTAACACAGGGGGTGACTATAAGTCGGGATCCATTTGATGGCAATGGGTTTGGTTTTGTGTGTGTGTGTGTGTGTGTGTGTGTGTGTGTGTGTGTGTGTATACGCACACACGCGCACACTAGAAAGCTCCAGCCTGGTGGTTAGTGGTGGATATACTCTAGAAAAGGTTGACTTAGCTACTTGGGGATGTGAAGGGAAGGTCGTTCCAGAAAGATGGAACAGTGTACCCAGAGAGATGAGAGGAGCGCGGGGACAGAGCAGAGAGTCTTGGATGGAGCCCAGGAGATGAGAAGGAGAGATGGGAACTGAGGCAGGGGAGGGGAGGAGGAGGTGGTACAGGTCCTAAATGGGGGGATGAAGGGTCCGGATGCCCCTTGGTGGGCTGGGAAGAGGGTAGGCACTGAGAAATGGATCAATTCTGTGGACTTCAGAATGGGGGACCCACAGGCAGCCCCTCTGGGGAGAAACTCTCTTTCTACAGAGCTGTTGGGCTGGGCCTAAGCCCCCAAGTTTAACCCTGGAGAAGTCTGTGTCTTGTTCACTTTTGGGATGATTCCTTGACAACCAGAACCTACCTTCTTCTTACCCTCCTCTGCTGCCCAGGGCCCCCCTTGCCCTGTGTTTGGCTGTGGGCGCACGGTGGGCCAGTAATTGTCTAACCACCAGCAAAGCTTTCAACATGAGGTCAGGAGCACGGGGGCGGGGAAGGGGTGGGGGGTGGTGATGTACAGTAGCACCCCATTATGTCACATTCCACAGATACGACAGACATACACAATCTTGAGAACAGGGAAGCAGTACACGGTCGTAAAATAATCAGGAAGTGTTTTATTATTATTTGTGTTTAAAGCTTTCTTTCATTGTAAGTTTATATCATTTAGTTTTTAACTCGGTCTTCGTCGGCTCCCAGGACCCAGCTCACTCTGCCTGCCTTTCTGCGTAGAAAGTCTTCTCAGCAAGAAACGCTTTCTGTTTTGTTCCATTTTCTCCAGGCAAACGAGGGAGCAGGAGACACCCCCTGACTTCTTTTATTTCTCTGACTATGAGAGGCACAATGCAGAGATCGCTGCCTTCCACCTGGACAGGTGAGCCCTCCCTCCCTGCACGTCTGCTCAGAGGAATCTTACTGACTCCAGGATGTTCACGGTTTACTAGTGAGCACCTGTGCCTTGCTAGGCACTGGGATACAATTGCACACTGTATCAATGACAATAGCAACAACAACTACTCTCTATCCAGCGACTTTTCTGTTCTGAGCACTGTATATATATGTATATTCATTTTGCCCTCATAACACCCAATAGTGTCTTAGTTATCTAGTGCTGCTATAATAGAAATACCACAAGTGGGTGGTTTTAACAGACAGAAATGTATTCTCTTCCAGTTTAGGAGGCTAGAAGTCCAAATGCAGGGCGTCAGCTCTAGGGGAAGTTCCTTATCATCAATCTTCCCCTGATCTAGGAGCTTCTCAGCACAGGGGCCCCGGGTCCAAAGGATGCTCTCCACTCTTGGCCCTTCTTTCTTGGTGGCATGAGGTCCTTCTCCTCTCTGCTCACTTCTCCGTTTTATATCTCAAAAGAGATTGACCCAAGATACAACCTAATCCTGTAGTCTGAGTCCTGCTTCATTAACATAACTGCCTCTAATCCTGCCTCATTAACATCATAGAGGTTAGGATTTACAACACATAGGATAATAACATCAGATAACAAAATAGAGGACAACCACACAATACTGGGAATCATGGCCTAGCCAAGTTGACACACATTTAAGGGGGACACAATTCAATCCATAATAGCTAGGTACTACCATTATCCCATTTTATAGATGAGGAAACCGAGGCACCATGAGTAACTGATTTGCCCAAAGTCCCTTGCTCTTAACCATTACTTTCTAACAAAGAAAGGGTCCCTACTGTATACCCAACAGTCAGGACATATTCATGCACAGCTGTTGACAGACTGGTTGGGTAGGTGCAAACAAAGGAAAGAAGAAAGAAAGAAGGAAGAGAAACAGAAGGAGGGGGGAGCGGGAGGGAAGGGAGGAAGGGGCTTTAGCTGTCTGTATTTTAGCACAGGGTGGGGCAGCCCGAGATCCTTGGCGCCTGGTCATCTTGCCACAGAGGATTTGGGCGAGGTGTCTCACAGACCTGTATCAGCAAGAAAAGACCCCATTCAGCACACACCATTTAATTAAGCATGGGGCAATGTGTGTGGTGCCATTTAGAAAGGCTTCTGTTAAAAGTGGATAATTTAATTTCGTTTTAAACTTAGCACAGAAATGAGGGCATGTTTCAGTTCTTCGGGCAATCAAAAGCGCTGCCAACATCATCCCTCTGGGGCCGTCACCTCCTATCCTCACAGGCGCGGCAGAGCAGGGGCCTCCTTAAGATTGGATTTAAATGGAGGCAGGGTTGTGGATCTCACGGCTCCTCAGATCTGTGGAGCAGCTGCCTGGGGTGCAAAGGAGAGCCACACAGGCCACGGACTCATTTTCCTGTTGCTTTCTGGCCAGGATCCTGGATTTCCGCCGTGTCCCTCCCGTGGCAGGCAGGTTGATCAACATGACCAAGGAAATCAGGGACATCACGCGAGACAAGAAATTGTGGAGAACTTTCTTCATCTCGCCAGGTAACCTTGCTCCTGGTGGGGGGCAGCCCCGCCCTCAGGTAGCTTTCCAAACACACAATAGCCATGAGCTATAGTTGCTGCTTTTTAACAACAAAAAAAAACCATTCTGTACTGTTTGTCTTAGTTACCTGGGGCTGCCATAACAAAAAATAACCACAAGTGGGTGGCTTTAAGGAGCAGACTTTTAATCTCTCACAGTTCTGGATGCCAGAAGTATGAATTCAGGGTTTCAGCTCAGGGAGGGTCCTTCTTTGTCAGTAGCCCCCAGCATTCCTTGGTTGCTTGTATCTTCACCTGGCATCTGTCTTCCCCCTGTGTGAGTGCCTCTGTTCTCCCTTTTTATAAGACACTCCCCAGAAGGGATTAGGTTTAGGACCCACCCTGCTCCAGTATAACCTCATTAACATAACAAAAACCTTCTATTTCCAAACAGGGTCACACTGACAGGTACAGAGGTTAGAACTTCCACGTATCTTTTGGGAGGATACAATTCAATCCCTAACACTACTGTTCTTCAACCTGCTGTTTTCACCTACCAACACACAGCGTGCCTCCTTGCACGTCAGTGTATGTAAATCTACATCATGCCTAAAAGGTTGTACTGTCATTATTTAACCAATCCCCTATTGTTGGGCACAGAGGTTATTTCTACCATTTAATTTTAAAAGGCAAGGTGAATTCACTTTTGGAAACTCCCAGCCCTTCCAGGGAGTCTTCTTCAGGTTGCCCAGCCTGGGGAGACCTCTATTCTCTGAATTCCTTCTTGGGTTAAAAACACCCCTATAAGACCTTTACATAGTTATAGGGTCCATGCAGCCTCCCCTTCCTCAACTAAGCACTGAGCAACTTGCTATGAGCAGCAGGTTCCACTATTCCCCTTGAGAGTTAGCACAGAACACCCCACATACTAAACCAAAACCCGTTGTCATAGAGTTGATTCCCCAACTTATAGCGATCCTATAAGACAGAGTAGAACTACCCCATAGAGCTTCCAAGGCTGTAAATCTTTATGGAGGCAGACTGCCACATCTTTCCCATGGAGTGGCTGGTGGGTTCAAACCACCAACCTTTTGGTTAGCAGCTGAGTGCTTAACCACTGTGCCACCAGGGCTCCTTCCCCCATTTTAGGCGTACAGTGTATATTTGAGGTTCTGAAATTTATTTAAAAAAAACTTTTATGACTTTATATTAAAAATCTTAAATGTATCCATAAGTCATATTCTGTTTCATTATCTGCCCCAAGTTGTTTCAGAGCTGGCCTTTGGAGGCTCCACTTATACGTCTATCTCTCCTTTCTTCACTCACTTGCAGGGCAAACACTTGAGAGCACTTTCTTCCTCCTAGGCACTGGGACAAGCTACTGTGTAGTACTCCTTGCTCATTTGGCCTGAGTTGTAGGAAAGCTCCAGGACTTTTGTCATTTGCATTCCATTCTTGGGAGATGCTTGAGTGGTCCCAGTGATGCCAGGTAGAGTGGAATGAAATGATCTGGCCCAGGTCGCTGGGACCCCACCAGGTGTGAACCCCCACACTAGGATATCTATCTGATTGTCCAGTCTCGCACTTACAGGAATGCTTCAGCCATTCTTTTTACTCTTTTCTGTTTACCCTTCTCTTGCGCAGCTGAAAAAGAGCTGAACGTAGATGCTTAGTTTCTTCCCATTAACGTTTTTTAGCAATTTTTAATATATAGACTATTTTTTAGAGTAGTTTTGATTTTACAGAAAAATTGTGCAGAGTTCCCGTATACTCCCTCAACCTCTGCACACCGTTTCCCCTATTATTAACATTTTGCATTCCTGTGGTCCATTTGTGAGAGTTGATGAACCGATGTTGACACATTATTACTAACTAAAGCCCATAGTTTGCATTAGAGTTTGCTCTTTGTTTTGTATAGGTCTATAGGTTTTGACAAATGCATAGTGTCATACGCCCAGCATTACAGCATCATGCACAATATTTTCACTGCCCTAAAAATGCCCCGTGCTCCACTTAGTCATCCCTCCCTTCTCCCCCTGAGCCGCTGGCAGCCTCTGATGTTTTCAGTGTCTCTATAGTTTTGCATTTTCCCGAATGTCATAGAGTTGGAATCACAGATTATTAGCTTTTTCACACTGGCTTCTTTCACTTAGCAATTTGCATTTAAGCTTCCTCCATGTCCTTTCCTGGTTTGATAGCTCACTTTTTATTATCACTGAATAATACTCCATTATATGGATGGACCACAGTTTCTTTACTCATTCACCCGTCAAAGGATGTCTTGTTTGCTTCCAGGTTTTCTGCCCACACTTTTGAGGTGCTCAGGTTGGCAGAGTCTTGCAAATGTCTTCATTGTAAGAGTCACCTGCCAGTTGGTCACCTCCTGAAGCTCTCCGGGAAAAGAATTATCACAGGCTCTGGAGCCACGCTGTTGAGGGGGCATCCTTGGTCCTCACAGAACACCTCACATTTGTTGGCTCCGTGTGGCGACCAGGCTTCCACAGCCCAGGCAGAGCTGGCGAGTCCTTTAGTTTCACTCCAAGTTCCCAGATGATGGCTGGGAGGGCAGGTTCTGTCCTGGGTTTGACCCTTGCTCTGGCTTTCTTCTGGCTCTCTCTTTATATGATTACTAAAGTGAAAAGGACAGTGGTCCCTCTCTTCCCCAAAGCCCACTCCTCCCCACACTGACCTTGGCTGGCCACCTCCTCGGTGTGGACATTTTTCTGTCTCCACACGGATCACGGTGTTTAATACCCAACCCATGAAGCAGGCACTGCTGTTAGCCCCATTTTGCAGATGAGGGCACTGAGGCTTAGATAGAAGAAGGTCACACAGCTGGTAAGAGGAAGACAGGCTGCCTTACGAGCCCCCTTAGCTCACCTTGGATGTTCTTTAAAAACTGGATTTGGTTCTCTGATGGGGAAAAGGCCATGGGCGCATGTATTTCTTCCCTTTTTTAACATAATACCATCTAGAGCCAGCTTCTGCGGGGACAGGGAGGCTATTGTAGCTGACAGATTTCATGGCTCAAGCCAGTGAGCAATCAGATAAAGATTTTCCTCCTGAAAATGGAGCTGGTGCCTGGGTTAGGGCACATTGTCCTGGCCGTGGGCTGCTGATCACACTGTGTCCCACGCAGACAAGAGCAGACACATCTTCCTGTGATCTTGCTCACAGTCCCCAGGCAGCCTCGGCTCTGAGATGACACAGTGAGGGGGGAGGGGGAAGATTGGGTTACTGGGGGCTTGTTAGGACTGGCTGGGTTCCCGTGCAGACGGTGGGAGCTGGGCCCGGGGTCCAGCCTGCCTCTGATGCTCAGGCCTGGCCAGGGCCAGCCCCCTCCTCACTCTCGGCCTCGGTGAAAGGAGCACCTGGCCTGGCTCCCCGCTGGCCTCTCCCCATTCCAGAGGCTACAACTCTGGATGGTTTAGGAGCCCAGGCCCCACAGAGCTTACATTTTGATTCCATGGAGAGGCTGAGGAGCACCCAGAGGGGCTCAGGGAGGAAGGCCTTTGTTTGGGAGGCTGTTGTTGGGGTCAGTGGGAGGATTTATGAGTGATGTCTGGGGCTCTGGCTCCCACCGAAGACCCTTCCTCATCCCAGGCTTTTCAGGGAGCCCCTGGGTGGTGCAAACAATTAACACTTTCAGCTGCTAAATGAAAGTTTGGCAGTTCAAGTCCACCCAGAGGTGCCTCAGAAGAAAGGCCTGGTGATCTATTTCCAAAAAATCAGCCACTGAAAACCCTATCGAGCACAATTCTCCTGTGACACACATGGGGTCACCATGAGTCAGGGTTGACTGGACGGCAACTAGCTTTTGGATTTTAGGCTTTATGGGTTTGTCCACCAAGCAAATAAATTAAAAAGTGAGAACATGAGCTCGTTCAGTGAATATGACATGAGTAGAACTGCTTCGGGGCCCCTGGTCGTCAGGAGATAACTGACCAGACCCCAGGGGCCTGTCTCCCAGCCAGAGCCCCCCACCACCATGGCACGACCAGGGTAGCAGGGGGAATACATTTTTTTAACCTACTGAACATTGACTCTAGAGGGGCTCAGGGTGGCGTGCAAATCGGGTTTCATAATTTTGAGGGTGAGTAGAAAGAACCTGGGTTCCAGTCCAGCTCTATCTCCTAGTAGCTGTATGACCTTGGCCAATTTGCCACCCCTCTGAGGCTCCATTTCTGTTCAAGGGTCAGAGGTCAGAGGCCAAGGTGGAAACCAGACTTGTCTGGGGCCCTGCCTGTGGGATGCACCAGAGGAGAGCCCGGCCTGCGAGGGGCACTCTGGGCGGGCCGGCTGCAGTGTTGCCCATGCGGGCCCCTATAACTGGCCCCGTCCCGCCCACAGCCAACAACATCTGCTTCTACGGGGAATGTTCCTACTACTGCTCCACGGAGCACGCCCTGTGTGGGAAGCCCGACCAGATCGAGGGCTCGCTGGCCGCCTTCCTGCCTGACCTGTCGCTGGCCAAGAGGAAGACGTGGAGGAACCCCTGGCGGCGCTCCTACCACAAGCGCAAGAAGGCTGAGTGAGCGTGGGCGCTGGTTGGATCCCGGGCTGTGGTGGAGAGTGGGAGGGCGGGCTTCCTTGGGGAACCAGGTTCAGGGGTGCCAGCCTCCTCAGTGTCCACCAGGTGGAAAGGGGCAGAGAAGGAACGCAAACAGTTCCCTCTGACGCCAGCATGTGTGAGACACTGTTTCCCGATTAGCCCCTTAGGAAGGACTTCCTCCCTCTGAGACTTGAATGCGCGCTCCTCAGAGTCCCACCCATGACACCTACCCCGTCGGTGTCTGAACACTGCTGTCGCTCCCTGCCTGCTCATCCCTTGAGTGGCAGAAATGTCTTCTGTCCCTTCAGCCACAGGACAGCAGGCACCGTGAGCATGGTCCCAGTCCTGTTTCCCGGCAGGCCCAGAGCTGATGGGTGCCCCCAGGCGTGGCCAACCTAGGGCAGAGCAGGGTGGCCCCCTCACCTCCCTGCCACACGCTCTTGTTAATGTGGCCTCGTACTGCTGTTGACGCATGTTTATCTGTGGACCGAGTCCTTCGGCTGCAGCATGAATCCACTGGCTCTGGGCCCCATGTGGCCAGGCGGCCCCAGAATTTGGCCTGGGTCCCCGCCTGCACAGAGGAGGAGGCGGAAGCCCCTGCTCATGCTGGCCCCCGCAGGTGGGAGGTGGACCCCGACTACTGTGAGGAGGTGAAGCAGACGCCACCCTATGACAGCCCCCAGCGCATCCTAGACCTCATGGACATGACCATCTTTGACTTCCTCATGGGTACGTCCGGGTGCGGGTGGGGGCTTGGCCATCCCGCGCCTCTGACAGCCGGCGGGGGATTTGGGAGCCCTGGGAGGGAGGGCCGTGCCCCCCTGCATTCCCAGGCGGAGGGCAGGGACCTACACGGGGCCCCGGAGCTGTCTTCTGTTACTGTGGCAGCTCAGATGGAGGGGAAGGCACCTTGCTCTGTGCAGGAGCAGGACTCCTGAATGGCACGGCCATGGCGCACCACAACTCCCTGGTTTGTTCCCTCCCCAGGAAACATGGACCGCCACCACTACGAGACCTTTGAGAAGTTTGGGAACGAGACGTTCATCATCCACTTGGACAACGGAAGAGGGTGAGCCACACTGATTTCCTGACCCCGGCGGGGGCTGGCCGCACCTGCCCCGGTTGGCTGGGAACAAACACCCCTACCTGTCGGCTGGGCCCACACTGCATGCTGCTCACCGAGCCTCTGTCCCACCCACGACACACCTGCACCTGTGTGCCCTTTGTGTGTGTCCTGAACACGTGTCCTGCGTGTGCCCCTCACACGAGTGTCCTCTGCATGTGCCCCTCACGTGTGTCCTGTGTGTGCCCCTCACGCGCGTTATCTGTGTGTGCCCCTGACATGCGTGCCCTCTGTGTGTGCCCCTGACATGCGTTATCTCTGTGTTTTGACATGCGTGCCCTCTGCATGTGCCCCTTACACACATGTTCTCTGCATGTTCACCTCACATACATGTCCTGTGCATGTGCCCCTCATACACATGTCCTCTCTATGTGCCCGTCACACGTGTCATCTATGAATGTCCCTCACTTGTGTGTCCTCTGCACGTGCCCATCACATGTGTGTCCTCTCTGTGTGCCCCCTCACACTCATGTCTTCTGTATGTGCCCTCGCACGCATGTGTGTTCTCTCTGTCTCTCACACACGTCCTCTATGAATGTCCCTCACACACATGTCCTCTGTGCGCCCCGCGCACACGTGTCCTCTGCGTGTGCCCTGACCACCTGCCTTCTCTGCAGGTTTGGGAAGCACTCCCACGATGAGCTGTCCATCCTGGTGCCTTTACAGCAGTGCTGCAGGTACAGACCCCGCGGCCTGGCCCCTCCCCATAAGCCTGCCCTGCCCGACCAAAATGCAGAGAGGTGATGGGGTCCCCAGCCCTGAATCCGACATGCACCATGACCCTCGCGTGCCTGTGCCTATCACCAGCAGGGGGGCTCAGAACCCTTTCTCAGGACTCACCGTATTACATGACCATAACCACCCTGGAAACAAAGCATCGTCCCCACTTCACAGATGCACTGAGGCCCAGGGCGGGTTGCTAGCTTAGAGCATGTCAGGGGTGGGCACAAAGACCCCGCTCCCCCTAGCTCTCCCCATTTCACAGTCGAGGAGCAGGCATTTGTCCTTCTCTCAGGGTGCATTTCAGAGCTTCCGCCTGCCCAGGCAGACACGCTGGGCTGAGGAGGACAGTCCCTGGGCACCACCCCTGCTTGTATCGCCCCTGCTGCTCTGCACAGCTGACCCTCCTCCACTCACACACTCAGGAGCAGGGACCCAGAGCCAAGTGCCGATGAGCATCTGGTCCCAAGCCCAACTTCCAGCAGCCGAGGCCCCCTATCCTCAACCTCCTTGCAGAGGCCTGAACTCCCTCCCCACCTCCCCAGGATCAGGAGGTCCACCTACCTGCGGCTGCAGCTCCTCGCCAAGGAGGAGTACAAGCTGAGCCTCCTGATGGCCGAATCTCTGCAGAGGGACCGGGTAGCCCCTGTGCTCTATCCTCTGCACCTGGAGGCGCTAGACCGTCGGCTGCGCCTGGTGCTTCGGGCCGTGGGGGACTGCGTGGAGAAGGACGGGCTCCACAGCGTGGTGGAGGATGACCTGGGCTCGGACCCCACGCCTCCCACCACCGCCACGGCCGCAAGGTAGTGAGCCTCCCACCGCGCCGGCCGCCGGGGACTGAGCAGGAGGGTCATCCTGCACAAGGCCGCGAGCCGCTTGGTGAATTCAGTGAATTCAGAGACATGTGGATCTTTCTGGAGTCGGAGGGCAACCTACCCCGAGGGGTCCAGCAGGAGGGACGAGCCGATGTCTGCGCTCACAGACTGAGGTGGGGCGGCTGCGGCACCCACCTTTTTGTAGAGAAGGAAGCCTTTACTTACAATTTTGTATTTATAAGTGGTTATCTGTATATAAGACACACACCTACAGACTGCAGGTTGCCCACCATTAAGCCAGGGGTCACTCCCTCCCCCGGCTCCTGGGACTTCCACGCACAGAGCACCCCTGGGCGCTAGACCTGATTGAAGATAAAGACTCCTTTTCTCCTGCCTTCCTGGCTTCAGCACTCAGAGTGCCTCAGGGCTTATCGGCTGGGGAGGCCCCAGGTGGATGCCACGGACTGGGCGCGGGCAGACAGACACAGAGAGCAGTTTCTCAGAGCGACGCCAGCCACCAGCTCTTTTTGCCGACGCCCAGCAGTGTCCGGGACCAGCCCCCGCGGCCTCACCCCCTATACTGCTTGGGCATGTCAGTGTAAATAGGCCCACGCGTGGGGCTGCTGCGAACTGCAGCAGTGGGGCGGCCTTCACAGCATCCCGTGGGGGTGTTTTGCAACGTGGTAAGTGTGCAATAAAGGTACAAGTGCGTGGGCTGCCTTCGGGGTCTGGGCACTTGCCCGTCTCTCCACTCCCCCCTCCACTCGCCTGATTTCCAAAAATCCGGTCCTAGACGAAGTCATGAGTAAACAGGGCTTGGGAGGTAGAGGTGGTTTGGAATGAGTCCTGAGCTCTCCAGAGACAGGGGCGGGCATGCAGGGCAGAGGGCAGCCCATCAGCTGCTCTGGATGTGGTGCTCTGTGAAGACTGGGCAGAGACCCTGCAGCCAGAGGCAGGCCCAGAGGCTGGCATCCTGTGTGACCTGGCATCCCGTGGTGGATGATGTTCACCCACTGGCGGCCGGGACATCAGAGACTAGGCCAGGTTTGGGGGCTGCTGGCTCAGACCTGCTGGGAGCGGTGGCCAGCCCTGGGCACAGGGCCTGCACCCCCACCGGGGGCCCTGTGTCAGGGGTTCCTAGACGCCCTCCCACGTCTGTAGAAGTGCCTGTGGTGTGCTGGTGCCATGCTGGGCCCCTTGCAGGGGAACAGGGGTGTCTGCAGCGGCTCTTCACACCTCAGGACAGTCCCCACCGTGAGCGTGGAGGGTCCTGGGCAACCACAGTCCACAGGCTCAGCAGGACCCCACCTTTTAAGGGTGTTTCTTTCATGTTGCCGTTCGCCCCTCCTCCACTGCTGCAGTGACACTAATCCACCCTCCAGTGACTGTGTGTGGGTGCCAGGGCTTGAAGGAGGTCATTACTGTCTGTAAAGCAAAGTGCACAGTTGTTTTTACTTTTCTCCTTTCATAGATGGGGAGACTGAGACTCAGAGAGAGGAGTCCCTCAGTGCTAAGTCTGTTTAGGTCCCTGGAGCAGCCAGGCCAGTGCCATGCCCCCAGAAGGGAGCAGAGTCCCACCCTGGGCCCCAAGTCCCCCCACCCCAGGCTGCAGGCAGACCACAGCTGGGACTTCCATATCTTGTCACAGCTCGATTGATAAAGTGATCCCCAAAGAGTTGCCACCCCATCTGCATACTTCAGCATTCGCCCCAGCGTCCACACTTGGCCCAGGGCAACAGACTCAACTTGCCTTTTTCACATACTCCTTATCCAGTTCTTGTACCTCCGGCTCCCAGACATGCCCAGAATCAGCTCCCTCCCCACATCACACCTGCTCTGCCCTCTTGTGTCATTTTCTCGCCATGAGCCCCCCCACTGGTCCCCGTTTCTCCCCCAGCCCCCTGCAGCCGTCTCAGTCCTAAGGAGTCAAGAGGGAGAGGCCAGGGTCAGAAGCGAGCCTCAGGGTGGACGAGCGTGGCAGGTAAGCTGTGTCTCCTCCAAGAGGCAGGACCCAGGATCCACTTGCCAGCAGTGATGGCCTGGTATGGGCACAGGAAAGCCGCCCGCTGGGGACAGGCCAGCTCTGTGCCCCCAAAGGAGCATCCGAGATTCCCTGAGGCTGCCCAGGGGGCTGGAGTGCAGGGCCACAGGCTGCCACCTGCCCAGGGGTGCTGCCACCTGCCCAGGGCCACACGGCCCAAAGGGTCCCAGGAGTCTGAGGCTCAGAGGGGCAGTCGCTGTGGCACCAACCACCTTCCATCGGTTCACCCATCCTTTCAACAAAGAGCTTCTGGGCACCTACCGTGTGTGGGGGCATGGGGCATAGGGACACAGCAGAGAACCAGACAGACGAGCCCCGACTCCAGAAGAGTTATACAAGAAAGGAAATGGCGTGGTACATTCATGGCTCAGCCATTCAGAGACATAATAGTGTAAGTAATCATATGACTTTTCCAAAAGAACGATGATGTTGTAACTATTGGCAGGGGTAGGGAAGGGGGTGTATTCGTGTTGGGGGGGTGTTTTCCGAGAGCTGTAGCCTCTCTTTTGAGGTAGAAAGCCAATAGATAATATCTAAAGGTTAAAAATAAAAAAGTTTTAACATAAGCCTGTTATGTAGAAATACGGAGGCAGGTACACGTATAAAAAATGAGGCAAAACAGAAAAGACCCCAAAAAACCTGCCGCAAGTGGTTCCCGCTAGGTCCCGGACGTAGGGACGGGGATGGGGAGGGAAGTCTTGTTTTTTGTGGTTCGGTCTGTGGTATGATTTTAGACTTTTAAAACTCTGTTCATTTATGAAATATGAAATTATTCAATTATGGATTTGAATGGGAAGTGAGACAGGGTCAGAGCCCAAGCTCCTTGAAGGTTTGGGATCAGCCAAGTCATGTCATCCACCACTGTCCCCGAGCCCAGAGCCAGCGTGTGGCTCTCATACCACATCATGCCTTTCCTCTGTTTCCTATAATCACCATTACAATTCTATCCCATAGTTACTCAGGAACCACCATCCTATTGTGTCTATTTCACAGCTTTAGAAACTGAGGCTTAGGCCAGCAAAGTGACTTTCTTGAACTCAACACAGGGAGTTAGTGCGTTTGGGGCAGGAACCCAAAGCCCCTCTCTGCCTCAGGGCCCAAGTGCACACCAAAGCTGCCGACTGAAACAGACACGGCACCCCTCCCCCCCCCCGACCCAGGGTGAACCTGAGAATTGAGGAAGGCGACATTTCCAGAGCAAAATGAAGAGAACAGGCTTTCCCTTAAATCCCTGTTGGTGAGGTCCGCTTTTCCCAGAAGAGGCAGGCTGCTCACATTGCCCGTAAGTGGCAGGATTTTGCCAGAGGAGCCTCTGGCAAAGTCTGGGAAAGAATTTGAATGTGGTTTTAAAAAAAATTGTTTAATGAGGAAAATAAAAGAAAGCAAGTGCCCTCCCCTGGTCTGCCTGGTTTTCACTTTGGAGACTCATAGGTGAGCAGGTGGGACGGCTTCCCTGAAGGCCTCCACTGAGGGGCAGGTCCCATCCCCCACACTCAGGGGCAGAAGGTCCAGAGCAGCTCTGCAGATGGACAGATGGACAGAGAGTACTTAATCCTGAATTTGGATGAATGAATGCATGAATGAATGAGTGAATGAATGATTAGGAATTTGTGTGTGATCCCTGACTTTATGGGGCACAGGAGACAAAACATGTGAAACGAGGTGGAAGCACCCAGATGTCCATCAACAGATGATGGAGAAACACATTGTGGTCCCTCCATGCAATGGGCTATTACTCAGCCACTGAGAGAAATGAAGTTCTGATACCTGCTATGACATGGATGAGCCTTGAAGACGTGATGCTGAGTGAAATCAGCCAGACACAACAGGACACAGATTGTATGATCCCGCTTTGTCTGCTGTAACAGTGCTATAAGAGAAATACCGCAAGTGGATGGTTTTAACAAAGAGAAGTTTATTTCCTTACAGTCAAGTAGGCTAAAAGTCCAAATTCAGGGTGTCAGCTCCAGGGGAAGCCTTTCTCTCTCTGTCGGCCTTCTCATCAGTGTTCCCCTGGACTAGGAGCTTCTCGGCACAGGGACCCCAGGTCCAAAGGACGCGCTCTGCTCCCGTCACTGCTTTCTTGATGGTATGAGGTCCCCAATTCTCTGCTTGCTTCCCTTTCCTTTTATCTCTCGTAAGGTAAAGGGTGGCTCAGGCCACACCCTAGGGAAACTCCTTTTACATTGGATCAGGGATGTGACCTGGGTAAAGGTGGTGTTACAATCCCACCTTAATCCTCTTTAACATAAAATTACAATCACAAGATGGCGGCCAACCCAACAGTTCTGGGAATCATGGCCCAGCCAAACTGATATACACATTTTTGGGGGGACATAATTCAAACCATGACACACTTATATGAAATATCTAGAATAGGTAAACACATAGAGACAGACAGTAGAATAGAGGTTACTAGGGGCTGGGGGAGGAAGGGGAAAGTGGTTGTTGCGTAGGGGCCGCTAAGTTCTTATTAAGAAAACTTAATAAAAATTTGGAAACAGATAGTGGTGATAGTTGCACAACATGATGAAGGTAATTAATGCGGCTGGATTGTATCCGTACAAAATGTTGAAGGGATAGGCCCCAGATGGCTGGACAGGGGCTTCCCAGGCCACTCCCTGGGCTCCAGGGCCCGCGCCTCCCCAGGGGGCTCACAGATCACCCTCCACACGGCTCTCCTGAAATCCCTCCATTACTGCGGAGGACCCTGCCTCCCAAGTCACTGTCCCCAAGAGGGACCTTACTCTAGTCAGGTGAGAAGAGAAGGCGTTGGGTAGCCCTGCCTGCCCTGGGGGTGGGGGCAGGTGTGGGACAAAGGAGACTTCACTCCATTAGACCTTTGTCAGACAGAACCCCAAGGTCCCCTGCGTGTGTGTGTGTGTGTGTGTGTGTGTGTGTGTGTGTGTGTGTTGCGGGGTGGGCACCAGAACAGCAGGGTTCTTCCTGAATCTCCTCAGAGCCTGCATAGGGATTCCAGCTCTGGTCAGAAGGAAGGGGTCTGTGGGTTGGCCTAGGAGCTGCCAGCAGGGAGTCATGACCCTGTGGGAACCGAGGGGTGGTCACAGGGCACAGCACCCACAAGGGCCTGGGTGGAGGAGGCATGGCCCCCAAAGGATTCCAGGTCAGGGGGCATGGCGCCCACGAAGGCCCGGGTAGAGGGGCAGCCTGGTTAGGTTGCAATGGGGGGCACAGATCAACCAGTCCCTGCTCAGATCCCCTCTTCCACCCTGTTCCAATGGGTTTTGGGGCTCAAGGACAAGGACGGAGCCTTCTTAACGCCTTCCCTTAGCGAATAAGAGCACAGGAGTTGTATCCGGGATCACCTGCTGGGAAGGGGCCCAGGGCAGGCCGGACACTTGCTCATGGCTGAGCCCCTCTCGCCATCTAGTGGCCAAGCAGAGAACAGCAAGAGCTGGGCCTAGTCAATAAACTGTTGTTGGGTGCCTT